GGAGGAAGGAGGGAGAGGGGAGGGGAGAGGGGGAGGAGGATGGATGGGAGGAAAGAGGGATGGGCTGAGTGCTGAGAGCGAGGAAGGGATGAAGGGAAGGAGGGAGGAAGGAAAGGAGAGGTTAGGTGAGAGAATGGAAGAGTGAGAATGAAAGACGATGGAGGGGAGGGAGGAAGGAGGGACAGGATGCAAGGATGAAAGAAAGGAAGGATGTAAGTAAGGACGTTAGGAGATAGAGAGAGAGAGAGGGAGAGAGCGAGGAGAGAGAGAGAGAGAGAGAGAGAGAGAGAGAGAGAGAGAGAGAGAGAGAGAGAGAGAGAGAGAGAGAGAGAGAGAGAGAGAGAGAGAGAGAGAGAGAGAGAGAGAGAGAGGGAGAGAGAGAGGGAGGGAGGGGAGGAGGAGAGAGAGAGAGAGAGAGAGAGAGAGAGAGAGAGAGAGAGAGAGAGAGAAAGAAAGAAAGGAGAGAGAGGAGAGAGAGAGAGAGAGAGAGAGAAGAGAGAGAGAGAGAGAGAGAGAGAGAGAGAGAGAGAGAGAGAGAGTCAGAGAGAAAGACCGAGACAGAGAGAGAGAGAGAAGGGGAGATAAAAACAGAAAGGAAGATAAATTTAGAGATCGAGAGAAAGACAGAACGAAAATAACAGAAAATTGCTTACCACCGCATGTGTATACTGCATAGGGACTAGAGGAGGCGAAGAGGGAGAGGGGAGGAGGAAGGGAGAGAAGAGAGAGGAGTCAGGGAGAAAGGAGAGAGGCGAAAGGGAGTAAGAGGGAAAAGGAGACAGGAGAAAGGGAAAAAAAAGGAGGAAAGCAGGAGGAGAAGAGAGAGAGAAAGGAGAAAGAGGGAGAGGAGAGGAGAGAAGGAGAAGGAGGAGAAAGAAGGAGAAAGGAGAAAGGGAGAAAAGGGGAAAGGGGAGAGAGCCGAAAGGAGAAAGGGGGGCGTCAAATTGGCCCCCGTGCTTGGGGGCTTAATCGCCGCATTCCTGATCCGGCGCCTTCATAATAAGGGCGAAGGATGCGGATTACCAGAGCAAGCATGACGATAATTCACGACAGCTGGAATGGGAATGGGAATGGGAATGGGAATCGACTCTTGCTTGCTTGCCACTCTCCCTGTTTGCTTGTCTGCTCGCCGGTCTCTTGTTTTCTTCTCTTTATGCTTGTCTCATTTTCTTCTTTTCTCTGCTTTCTACTTGCTTGTCTGCTTGGCCACTTTTCCTCTCCGATTTCTTACTTATCTACTGTCCTTCCCTGCTTCGACGCTCGCTCGCTCGCTCGCTCTCTCTCTCTCTCTCTCTCTCTCTCTCTCTCTCTCTCTCTCTCTCTCTCTCTCTCTCTCTCTCTCTCTCTCTCTCTCCGCTTTTCTTCCCTCCATCCCTGCTTGCAAGTTTGCTATGATAACCCCCTTTCTATTTACTGACTTTCCTTGCTTGCATTTTTTCCTTCTCCCTTTTCTGCTTGCATTTTCTCCTTTCCCCTTGCACTCCTCCTCTTTCCTTCTTCCTTCCTCCCTATCTCCTCCTTCCTATCCCTCCTATCTCTATGCCTGCTCGCTTCCCTCCCTCCCTCCACCTCCACAACCCCCCCCCATCCCCCTCCCCCTCCATCCCTCCTACCAACTCCTTACATCCCCCCACCACTCCTTCCCCCTCCTCCCTAACCCCCTCCCCCCCATCCCTCTTCCTTCCTCCCTTCCCTCCCTCCCTCCCCCTTACACAACCCCCATCCCACCCCATCCAACCCCCACCTCCCATCCCCCTCCTTCCCTCCTCCCTCCCTCAACCCCTTACCATTCATCACCTCCTTCCTGCCTGCTGCCTTGTCTGCTTGCTTGCCTGCTCCCTCCTCCTCCCCAACCCATCCAACACCCCCACCCACCCCATCCACCTCCTTCCTGCGCTGCCTGCCTGTCTGCTTGCTTGCTTGCTCTCTCCCTCTCCCTCCCAACTCCCTTCATCTACCTCCTACCTTCCCTCCCCTCCTTCCTGCCCCTCCATCCCCCAACCATCCCCTCCTTCCTTCCCTGCCTGCCTGTCTGCTTGCTTGCTGCCCTCCCTCCCTCCCTCCCAACCCCATCCACCCCTCTCCCCCCCCATCCCTCCTTCCCTGCCGCCTGCCTGTCTGCTTGCTTGCCTGCCTGCCTGCCTCCTAACCCTCTCACCCTCCATCGACCCGACTGCCTGACCGAAGTACCAATACATCAAATGTAATATCATTATCTCGAGCGGAGGACGGCGGGCATGGAAACCCTATTCATCATTGGCGATATCTTCAATGGAGGGAAAAGAGGGGGGGGGAGAGAAGAGGGGAGGGAAGGGAGAGGAGATAAAGAGGGAAGGGGAGAGGAGAGGGGAGGAGAGGGGAGGGGAGAGAAAGGGGACAGAGGGGAGGGGAGAGAAGATACAGAGGGGGGGGAGAGGAGGTAAAGAGGGAAGGGAAGAGAGAAGAGAGGAGAGGGAGGGGAAAGGAGAGAAGATAATGAAGGAAAAGAGGGGAAGGGAGAGGAGATGAAGAGGGAAAAGAGGGGGGAGGAGAGGAAGGGAGAGAGGAGGTAAAGAGGGAAGGGAAGAGAGAAAAGAGGAAGAGGGAGGGGGAGGGGAGAGAAGATAATAAAGGAAAAGACGGGGAGAGGGGAGGGGAGAAGATAGTGGGAACAGAGGGGGTAAGGAGAGAGAGAGAAAGAAGGAGATAAAGAAGGGAAAAGAGAAGAGAGGCAGAGGGAAGAGGAGAGAAGATAATAAGGGGAAAAGAGGGGGAGAGGAAGAGGGGACGGGAGAGAAGATCACGAGACAAAGGGTGAGAGAAGAGAGGAGGAAGGGAGAGGAGAGAAGAGAGGAAGATAATCAATAATAATAATCATCATAAATGAATAACAAGAGGGGAGAAGAGAGAAAACAAAGAAAGAAGGGAAGGGAAGGGAGAAAAGAAGAGAAGAGAGGAAGAGGGGATAGGGGATAGGGGATAGGAGAGAAGATGAAGTGGAGAGGGAAGGGAAGAAAGAGAAAAACAGAGGGAAGGAAAGAAAAGGTGGACTAATTCAAAAAGAAAGAAAAAAACAGCGTTGAGGACAGAGAGAGAAAAAAGGAAAAGAGAGAAAACAACAAAGGGAGAAAAGATAAAGATAGGATACAAAAGAGACAAAAAAAAAGACAGGAATAAGAGAAAACCGAGAGAAAAAACAAACAATAAGGAGGAAATAAAAAAGGTTAAAAAAGAGAAGGGTGGGAAGAGAAAGACAACAAGAAAGAGGAATATAAAGAGTAAGTCGAAAAAAAACGAAAAACAAACAGAAAATAAACAGAACACCGATAATGGCATACCAAAAACAGAAACATTAATGAAAGCAATCCTACAACAAAATTACTAAAAATAACCCCAAATATGCCAATAACAACAGCAGGAAAAATAAAATACTTTTATTATTCTTACCAGGACTTCCACTTCTAAAATTGACTATAATAATAATGACACTCGTACAGAGAGTACTTTCCTGATAAAAATTATAAGAGAAGCAATCAAAAATCTTGTCTGAACCCCCACCCCCTCCTAAATATAATAATAATAATAATAATAATAATAATAATAATAATAATTAATAATATAATAATAATAATAATAATAATAAATAATAATAATAATAATATAACGATGAAAAAGGAAAACGACAAAGATGATGACATGATGAAAGAAGAAGAGAAGAGAAGAAGAAGAAGAAGAAGATGATGAGAAGAAGAAGAGAAGATGAAACGAAGAAGATGAGACGAAGAAGAAGAAGAAGAGAAAGAGGACGACGAAGAAGAAAAAATAAAAAGAACGGCGGAAAGGGCGCCCCCGAAAGTAGGCCAAACATTAAAAGTCACGACTTGAAGTTGACGTAAAACATTTTGGTGTGCTCTCCTGTGGGACGAGGGCACTTGCGCGCGCAGGTGGAGAGGCGGAGGGCGGTGGAGGGGTGGAGGGCGGTGGGGGTGTGGGATGGGCGGTGGAGGGAGGCGGAGGGGCGGCGGAAGGAGAGGGAGAGGCGGTGGGGGAGTGGTGGAGGGCGCTTTGTGTCGGCCAAGAACCTCTACACTCGAGAAGCTGCGACCTGAACCTCTTCAGGAGGCTGAAGGGGCGTGGAGGAGAGGGGGAAGGAGGGAAGTGGGGGGGGACTGGGGGAAGTGAGAGAAGTGGGGGAAGAGAAGAGGGAAGTGGGAGGAGGTGCAATGGAAGGGGAGTGGGGAGGGAAAGGGAAAAAGGCGATGGGGGGAGGAGAAGGAGGGAGGGGAAGGGAAGAGGGAGGAAAGTGAGGGAAGAGAAGAGAGGAGGAGCGGGGAAAGAGGGACGAGGAAGAGAAGCGGGTGAAGGGAAGAAGGAGGGAAATGGGAAAAGGAGGGAAAAGGGAGGGGAGTGAATAGAAAGAGGGCAGTTCTCTTCCTTTTTCTGTCTATTCCTTTTCCATCTTTTCTTCTCTACAACCCATCCCTTTTACTCTTTCTCTTCCGCTGTTCTTCCTTCCATCCTCCCTCTCTCTTCTCCTTCCTCTCCAACTACTACTCCTCTCTCCTCCTTTCTCCCCCAATTCTACTTAAAACGAAGAAGAAGAAGAAAAGAAGAAGAAAGAAGAAGAAGAAAAGGCGAATAAATGGAGAGAGAGAGAGAAGAGAAGAGAGAGAAGAGAGAGAGAGAGAGAGAGNCTCTGCTCTCTCTTCTCTCTCTCTCTCTCTCTCTCTCTCTCTCTTCTCTCTCTCTCCTCTCTCTCTCCTCTCTCTCTCTCTCTTCACCCACCTATCAGTTCCTTCCTCTCACCCTAATTCACCGAAAAAAAATAAAGTATACATATGACGGTCACACATCCTATGACAGACAGAGTGGTCCAAGAACCTTACTTAAATAGGCCTAGCATAATTGTGCACAGAACCCCTGCCTCCAAAATGGCGTCGTCGCCCTGACCCACGCGGCGTTGTGCTGAGGATGCCCGTGTCCCCCTGAGACTCGAGACTTGCCCCCCGTGCCCCTGAGACTCAGACTGAGCGAGACTTGCCCCCCGTGCCCCATGAGACTTGAGACTTGCCCCCGTGCCCCCTGAGACTCGAGCTTGCCCCCGTGCCCCCTGAGACTCGAGACTTGGCCCCCGTGCCCCCCTCGATGCCCCCTGAGACTTGAGACTTGCCCCCCGTGGCCCCTGAGACTCGAGACTTGCCCCCCGTGCCCCCTGAGACTCGAGACTGCCCCCCGTGCCCATGAGACTTGAGACTTTGCCCCCCGTGCCCCTGAGACTCGAGACTTGCCCCGTGCCCCCTGAGACTCGAGACTTGCCCCCCTGCCCCATGAGACTTGAGACTTGCCCCCCGTGCCCCCTGAGACTCGAGACTTGCCCCCGTGCCCCCTGAGACTCGAGACTTGCCCCCCGTGATCCCTGAACTGAGACTTACTTGCCCCCCGTGATCCCCTGAGACTCGAGACTTGCCCCCGTGCCCCTGAGACTCGAGACTTGCCCCCGTGCCCCCTGAGACTCGAGACTTGCCCCCCGTGCCCCATGAGACTTGAGACTTGCCCCCCGTGCCCCCTGAGACTCGAGACTTGCCCCCCGTGCCCCCCCCCTGAGACTCGAGACTTGCCCCCCGTGATCCCTGAGACTTGAGACTTGCCCCCCCCGTGATCCCTGAGACTCGAGACTTGCCGCCCCGTGCCCCCTGAGACTCGAGATTGCCCCCCGCCCCTGAGACTCGAGACTTGTCCCCCGTGCCCCTGAGACTCGAGACTTGCCCCCCGTGCCCCTGAGACTTGAGACTTGCCCCCCGTGCCCCTGAGACTTGAGACTTGACGTTTGCCCCCCGTGTGCCCCCGTGATCCTGGACTTGAGACTTGACCCCCTGGAGACCGGGACTGAGACTCGAGACTTGCCCCCCCCGGTGCCCCTTGAGACTCGAGACTTGCCCCCCGTGCCCCCTGAGACTCGAGACTTGCCCCCCGTGCCCCTGAGACTCGAGACTTGCCCCCCGTGACCCTGAGACTTGAGACTTGCCCCCGTGCCCCCTGAGACGACTGCCCCCCTGCCCCTGAGACTTGAGACTTGCCCCCGTGTCCCTGAGACTCGAGACTTGCCCCCCGTGCCCCCCTGAGACTCGAGACTTGCCCCCCGTGCCCCCTGAGACTCGAGACTTGCCCCCCGTGCCTGAGACTCGAGACTTTCCCCCCCGTGCCCCTGGACTTGAGACTTGCCCCCGTGCCCCTGAGACTCGAGACACCCGTGCCCCCGACTTGAGACGTTGCCCCCGATCGAGACTTGCCCCCCTGAGACTCGAGACTGCCCCTGAGACTTGCCCCCCCCCCCTGAGACTTTGCCCGTGCCCCCTCGAGACTGATGCCCCCTGAGACTTTGCCCCCCGTGCCCCCTGAGACTCGAGACTTGCCCCCCGTGCCCCTGAGACCGAGACTTGCCCCCCCGTGCCCCTGAGACTCGAGACTTGCCCCCCCGATCCCTGAGACTCGAGACTTGCCCCCCGTGCCCCCTGAGACTCGAGACTTGCCCCCCGTGCCCCCTGAGACTCGAGACTTGCCCCCCGTGCCCCCTGAGACTCGAGACTTGCCCCCCGTGCCCCTGAGACTCGAACTTGCCCCGCGTGCTCCCTGAACTCGAGACTGCCCGCGTGCTCCCTGAGACTCGAGACTTGCCCCCCGTGATCCCTGAGACTCGAGACTTGCCCCCGTGCCCCTGAGGCTTTACCGATGCCAGCGCCTCCCCAGGATAAGCGAGATGCCCCAATTCCCACCCAAGGAGCCCAGTCGGACCAGACCCTCCGCCACCATTTCCTCAGCACCAATCCCCCTCCCCCCCTCTCCCCCCCCCCACCACCACCACCACACAAAGCGCTGTCGCAATTTATTATCACCTCTCCCATAACAAAGTGCGTTGTCCTCCCCCCCCCCTCCCCCACCCCTTAAAGAGTCAAGCCATCCGCCCCGTGCTCTAACTTCCCCCCAAACCAGTCCAGTCGCGCTACGAGATCAAATTAGAGAGCTCCTCACAATACACCCGGTGTTCCCTCCGCCCCCCCCCCTCCCTCCCTCCCTCCTCCCTCCTCCCCCCCACCGCCGCCGCACCACTTTTCTGTAAACTACGAACGCGGCACAGTGTATACCCCGGCGTTTCTCATACCCCTAATATACTCTAATCCAACTTGTAAACTCGGCATCTTGATTAGTCTGCCCCGAGGAGCCGGAGGTTCCGCCGCGACTCGAACTTTGGCGTGGCGGGCCCGTAGAGTTGTGTCCGCTGACCATTCTCTCTCTCGCTCGGTCGCTCTCTCTCTTTCTCTTTCTCACTCTGTCTCTCTTTCACTCTCGCCCTCTCTGCCATCCTCCCTCTCTCTCTATATATATATTCTGGCTCACTCACTCACTCACTCACTCAACTCTCTCTCTCTCTCTCTCTCTCTCTCTCTCTCTCTCTCTCTCTCTCTCTCTCTCTTCTCTCTCTCTCTCTCTCTCTCTCTCTCTCTCTCTCTCTCTCTCCTCTCTCTCTCTCTCTCTCTCTCCCCCTCTAAGCCTCTGTAGCATCTTGTAAAATCAACACAAGACTAATTCCTTACGATTCCTTAAAAATTCCCGATCATTCCCATTCCATATTTTCGTCTTTCTACGTCTCCTTTTTCCTTTTTCTTTCTTCTTCGTTCAGGCTTGCGGTTCTGCATTTCTCTCATTTCTCCTTTTTTATCCATTTCTATCCCATGCGGTGATCCGCCCATACGGCGAACGAAAATAAAAGAAAATTGATAAAGAAAAAAAAATAATAACATTATCTCAAAAACAACAACAAAAAAGTATCAAGTGACTAAACATACAGAGTGAACGAAACATTTCGACATTCTTCTTTTTTTCTCTCTCCCTCTTTTTCGGAAACGATGCCGTATTTTTCGACTTATCCCTCTCTCTCCCCTCCCTCCCCTCCCTCCCCCCCTCCCTCCAGCCCTCCTCAGCCCCCATTTTAAGCGAGAAAAGTATTTTTGACTTTTGAGGAGGACCATTCGAATTAAATTCCCATTTCTAAATTATTTAGGACTTTACTTCAGCAGGTGATTTATTTCATTTTTCGTTTTCCTGTTCGATTCTACGGACGGATATTTTCGGCCAGAAAATTGTAATATCCACTTTAAACATTTAAAGTAGAGATAGAATATATATATATATATATGTGTGTGTGTGTGTGTGTGTGTGTGTGTGTGTGTGTGTGTGTGTGTGTGTGTGTGTGTGTGTGTGTGTGTGTGTGTGTGTGTGTGTGTGTGTGTGTAATATATATTATATTATATATATATATATATATATATATATATATATATATATATATATATATATATATATATATATATATTATTATATATATATATTATATATATATATATATATACATATAAATATACATATATATATATATATATATATATATATATATATATATATATATATAGAGAGAGAGAGAGAGAGAGAGAGAGAGAGAGAGAGAGAGAGAGAGAGAGAGAGAGAGAGAGAGAGAGAAGGAGAGAGAGAGAGAGAACGAGAAAGAGAGAGAGAGACAAAGAGAGAAAGAGAACGAGAAAGAGAGAGACAAAGACAAAGAGAAAGAGAGAGAGAGAAAAAAAGAGAGAGCAAGAGAAAAGAGAGAGAGAATAGACACGACCCCCTCTTTAACTCGACTTCAACACGAGGAATTTTCCCCTCTCTCGCTCTCTGAACCCCACCAGGCTGCAGTACCGTCAACCTCCACTACGCCCCTGTGCTCATCTCTGTCATCTCTGTCTCCATTTCAACTGCGACGTAAAGAATAGGCAGACAAACAAATAAACACTCGATAAACGACTTCGGCTGAAAGATCCCGTCAACATCTGTCGTCCATAAATCATCATTATCTTCATCATCGTCTTTCACCAGTCGATGACGTCACGACTGAGGACGCCCATTTGGGAAAGGAGGGAAAAGATGTATAACAGTAAAAATAAATAATAAATAAAAATAATAATAATTATGATGGGTGGTGGTGGGGGTAGGGAGGAGGAGGAGGAGGTGGTGGTGGTGGTGGTGGTGTAAGGAGGAGGAGGAGGAGGAGGAGGAGGAGGAGGAGGAGGAGGAGGGGAGGAGGAGGAGGAGGAGGAGGAGGAGGAGGAGGTGGTGGTGGTGGTGGTGGTATTGGTAGGTGGTGGTGGTGGTGATGATGGTAGTGGTGATGACGATCATAATAATGAACGAAGAATGATGATAACAGACAATGATGTCCTCACCATGATGCAACGATTCAGACAACGAAGATAAGACGGAAAAAATACAAAAAGCAATCACCCCCCCCAACCACCCCACCCCCACCCAAAAATAACATAAAAAACAAAAAAGGTCACTCCAAAACCAACGCCTCTCACCCACAACAAACAACCCCTAAAAAACAACCATACAAGCCCTCTATAACTCTCCCCCACCCCCCTCCCCCTCTTCCTCTCCCCTATACCGCGGACCCTCTCTTTAGTGGGGTCAGTTGAACCAATAAAGTCCTATGACCAACTCAGACGTCAACGCTTACTTAGACGGTGATGGATGGGACGCTAAGCAATTAGGGCTCTCGTTTTAAGGGGGGGGGGGGGAGGGGGAGGGGCTGTGATTGGATGGGTGGAGGAGGAGGTGGGAGGGTAGAGCAGAGATGGGTGGAGGAGGAGGTGAGGAGGGGTGATTGGGTTGTGGAGGATGGGTGGGTGGAGGCAGAGATGGGTGAGGGGAGGGTGGGAGGAGAGGACGGTGAAGGAGGGTGAGGCAGGTGGAGGAGGAGGGTAGGTGAGGGGTGGGGAGGGGGAAAGAAGGGGTCCCGTCCAAGAAGAGGAGGAGAGAGGTGTGGACGGGATGGAAGAAGGAAGGAGAGAGAAGGGAGGATTGTAGCGAAAGAAAAGGGAACAAAAAAAAAAGCGATGAAAGAGGGTGGATAAGGGAAAAGACGAGAAAAGGCCTGAGTGGAAGTCACAGAAAGGAAGGGAAAGAGAAGAAAAGGAGGATTTCAGCGAAAGAAAAGGGGACAGAATGGAAGGAGCGATTGAAGAGGGCGAATAAAGAAAAAAAAACAAGAAAAAGTCCCGAGTGGAAGCACAAAAGCGAACAAGAGAAGAAGAGAGGGACGATATGGAGAGGCTAGAAGGGGGACCAGAGAGAACAGATGGGAAAGACAGAATAGCGTGGAGAATAGAGCGGAGGGGGGGGGGGGGTCCTCTAGAATAGGGAGGGGGGAGGGGGGGTCCTCTCTTGTAGGCTTACGTCAAACAGATCGCGGACGAGAAGCCACGCGGAAATCAAATCAAATTCCCGTTCCTTCCAGAATTAATGTGCGGGTAATAACAACAAAGACGTCAATGGGACGTCAGCTGTGGTAATACGAGGATAACACACTTGAAGCAACGGAAAAAAGGGAGAGGGAGAGAGGGAGAAAGCGAGAGGAGGGGGGGGGGGAAGGGATGGAAAGAGGGAAAGAGGGGAAGGGGGAGGGAGGGAGGGGGAGGGAGGGAGAGAGAGGAGGAAAGAGGGGGGGGAGAAGAGAGAGAGAGAGGGAAGTGGGGAGAGGAGGAAAGAGGAGAGAGAGAAGAGAAGAGAGAGAGAGAGAGAGAGAGAGAGAGAGAGAGAGAGAGAGAGAGAGAGAGAGAGAGAGAGAGAAGAGAGAGAGAGAGAGAGAGAGAGAGAGAGAGAGAGAGAGAGAGAGAGAGAGAGAGAGAGAGAGAGAGAGAGAGAGAGAGAGAGAGAGAGAGAGAGAGAGAGAAAGAAAGAGAGAAACAGAAACAGAAAAAAAAGAGAAATAAAGATAAAAGAAAGAATAAGAAATCAAAAAAGAAAAGAAAAAAAGAGAAAAAATAAATCAACCCAAGCAATACCGCCGCCCCGCCGCCAACCCCACCCCCCCCCACCCACCCGTCACCCGCCGATCGCCCGCCCCGACCTGCTCAAGGAAAAAGAGATGGAAGGAGAAGAACCGCGTTTCCAGACGGTGGGCGTCGCGCGGGCGTCGGACACTCGCCTCGTGGGGGATAAAGTGTTCCTTCCCTCTGCCAATTATGCCTCGTGGGCGGTTTCTTGATTTTCCTTCCATTTCCCTTTTCTTTTTCTTTTTTGTTTTCTTTTCTATTTCTTTGTTTCTTCGTCACATGCTTCCATTTTTTTCTCTTTTTTAATTAATTATCTTATTTTTTCCTTGAAGTCTAGAGGTTCCTAACAAAGTTCTTTTAGTCATTTTTTCAATAAAAAATTAACACCAAGAAGATTCCAAGAACGAGAAAGATTAAACAAAACAAAGAAAACAATAAAAGACGAAATAAAAAAGTAAAAAATAAAAACAGCAAAAACCAAAGGAAAAAAAACTAAAAAGAATGAGTGTGAGAGAGAGAGAGAGAAAAAAAAAGAGAGAATGCAAGCTGACACCTCTCACCTGTGGGCGTCCGTAACGGGCCCAGGGGGCGTGCAGGGGATAAGCGTGTTGACTGATATGGAGCATGGGTGGAGGGCGTGGGGAGGGGGAGGAGGGGAGAAGGAATGGGAGGGATGCAAGGTGTGAGGGGGAGGGGGTATGTGGGAGGGGTACCGTGGATAGAGAGGACGTGGTAGGAAGGTAAGAAGGTAAGAAGGTAGGGAGGTAGGAGGGTAAGAAGGTAGCAGCAGAATAGGAAGGTAGGAGGGGAAGCAGGATAGAAGGACAGGAAGGTAGCAGAATATTATAGGTAGGGTAGCAGTTAGTAGGAAGGTAAGTAGGTATGAAGGTAACAGGATAGGAAGATAGGAGGGCAAGCAGTTAAGAAGACAGGAGGGGGGGAGACAGGAGGGCAGGGAGGTAGGAGTCCCACAGGAGGGCACTCGAATATGAGGTGTAGGTGGGATGGAATGAAGGGTTACTGACTGCGAGGGAAGGAGGAGGAGGGGAGGAGGGGAGGAGAAGAGGGTATCGGGTATTAAGTAAGGGGTACTGGATAGGAGGGTAGGAGGGGGGGGTACCACACATGACCAGAACGCTTAGGCAACGAGTAAAGAGGACAGTAAAGCTGAGTGGCAGATGGGTTTAGGAGGGTATGGGGGGCAAGGAGGGGGAGAAGGGGTAGGGGAGAAGGGGGGAGCATGGGAAGGGGTAAGAGGGTATCCATGGAGTGGAATTTGTACCTTTCAACGAGAGTCTAAAACTATTTCT